CCTAAAGTATGTATAATTTTAAACTAGTATTGTTCTAGTTTCTCAGCCTATTAAACCTGTTGTTAATTAAGATCTTTTGTAGTTGTAAATATAACAAGGTTCTTGTAGTCTGTAAAAATTAATAGTTCTAAACAGCTTTTATAGTAGATCCTCTAGTGCTAGATTAAGTTAACTATAGCTATTAATTTCTTGTTATAGACATTATAGTGTTCTTCTATTAATGTAAACTTCCTTAAGTAGTAAGCAATAAAATGCTATTTTCTATCTTTTTTCTGTGTAATGCATGCTTCTAATGCAAGGTCTAAAGCATTAGTTTTTATTTATATTAGTTTTTCTAATTAGAACATAATTAATACTAGAGCAGCAGCGCATGCTTCCTAAAGTTTTTAGAATGTGTTATCTTCTTTTTTATTTTAGCAGAAAGTTTCTTCCTTCCTTGTAAGTTGTGTAAGTAGAATTAAGATCTTAGAGAAGTTCTTAATAAATCTTCTATTAAAGTTGCAAAATTCTATAAAAGATTATACTTTTTTAATGTTTTTTAGTGTAGGCTATTTTTTAACAACTTAGACTTTCTCTAAATCTTGCTTAATTTCTCCTTCTTAGATAATAAATTCTAGAAACTTAACTTGTTTTGCATAAAACTTACATTTCTCTAGTTATACTTATAAGTTTGCTTCTTAAAGCTTTTAGAGCACCTAATACACATGTTTCTAGTGTTTGTGCTTGTTCTCTAAAAACACTAGAATGTTATCTAGGTACGCTATAACTGTAATATTTAGTTAATCTCTAAGAACGTTGTTTACAAGTGCCTAAAACGTTGCTAGTGCGTTAGTAAGCCTAAATAGCATAACTATATATTTGTAGTGTCTGTAGCGAGTGCGGAATGCAGTCTTCTATTCTTTGCCTTTTTTTATTTATACTAGATAATACTTATCTTTAAGGTTTAGAGCTGTAAAGATTTTAGCCTTTGCAAGTTAGTGTTGTAATTCTTTAATATTTAGTAATAGATACTTGTTTTTTACTGTATTATTATTAGTCTTGCAGAAATCTATGCACGTCTGTAGTTTTCTATTCTTTTTTTTTATAAAGAGGGTTTTGTGTGCTACTAGCAACTCTAATAGTTAGATATATTGTTTAGCTAGTCTTTTTTTAATATATTCTTGTATAGCTGCTAGCTCTAACTTAGATTTTAGGCGCAATAGGTTAACTAGCAGTTTTAATTTATCTTTAAGGATTATTTCGCAATCCTAGAGCTAATGCTTTAGTAATTTAAGCTTAGGTTCTAAGTCCTTAAATAGTGCTTTATACTTCTAATATTATATAGGAACTTTAAGAGTTGTGCTAGTCTTTTTAACTCTCTTTTTGTAACTTAGTACTTAACTAGTATCTAAGAAGTTAACTGCTCTTTTTAGGCGTGTCTTAGGCAATAGCGTTGTTGCGTTAACGCTTTTTTTATCTACTACTTGTAGCGCGTAGTGCGTAGGCTTTAGACTGCGTGTATATTTATAGTTTATAAATAAAAGTATTTCTTTAAACTAATCTGTTACTAGATTATGCTTTTGTAACTAGAGGAGTCTTAATACAACGTTAAAGGTAGCTATTTTTAAAACGTCTAGAATAATCTCTTTCTAGTGTCTACTAATTTCTATAAACGTTAGGTTAGTTTCCTTATTAACTTAAGTTTTATTAGGTAAGCGCTTTCTAGTAACTGCTTAAATACTGTACTGTTTGTGTTTTTCTTAAGTAGAAAGTCCTGCTTTTTTAACCACGTGGCTTAACACAAGATTAACTAAAGAGCTAGTATTAAGTAGTGCTTTAAAATAGTGTCTGTTAAGCTTAACTAATAGCTTAACTAGCTTCTTTAAGTTTGTTAAACATACAGTTCTGTATGTATTTCTAGTGCTAGGCGTGTCCTTAAAAAAGAATAAACTAGTTTAAATCTGTTAGTATACTTAGCGTTGTAGTAGCGTTTGCAATTATTGCATAAGCAGGTTTGCTATATGTTATTTTTAATACATTGTTAGTTTATTGCAATCTGCATATTTACTGTTTGCTTTAGTGTCTTGCCTAGAAAGTTAGAACTAAGTCTCTTATTAAATAGGTAAATAGAACAAAAGTTATTATAGCACTTTGTTTAATTATATCTGCAGATCTTGCGTAGATTATTCTTTAAATAGTAGAAGGCATTTTTATCTAACTTGTGCGTCTAGCAAAGGTTGTACATGCAAGCACTAAAGTGTAGCTGTTTATAATTTTAGTTTTATAAGTTAATGTTGTACATAGGTTAACGCATAAATAGCAGTTTAAGTTTTTTAGTCTTTTTACTATTTTTCTTGTACTTCTAACAATTCTGCTAATGTTTTAAGATATGTTGTACGTAGTTGTCTCTTTATAAGTTTAAGACTTTCTTTTTAGGTTAGTTTTTTTTCTAACTGTCATCTGCTATTTAGTTTAGCAGATCTAGTTCTTTAATTTATTTAGCAAGTTTGTCATTATCGTATTTAATAGATCCTTTTAGGCTATTAGGTTTCTTAAGAGATAAGTACTTTTCTTCTAAGTCTAATCTAAATTCTTATAAATTCTTTATAATATACATTTGTTTTGCTTCTAGTAGTGCATAGGTCCTTAACATAGAGTTTTTGTTCTAGAACTGTTGTGTTAGACGTAGACGTCGCTTTTTCTATTAATTATTTCTGCTTCTTGTAGCAATTTATTAGGCGTTTCGTTCTACTTAACGTTTCTTAGTTAGTAGTGCATCTTTGTGATGCTTAGAACTGCTTTCTAAATTTAGGTTATCTACTATAAGTTATCCTTTACCTGGCGTGGGTTCTAGGATTTTCTATTCTAATTTGCCTTTATCCTCTCTAGAGTATAAAGACTTAGTTGTTATGCTAACAAATTGTATAACCTTGTTTTTTAATTAACAGTTTCTAGCTATGTAGCTAGTTTTACTACATCTGTAGCAGGTGATCCTCTTAGGGTTCTTACTCTTCTTGTTATACTTCTTTCTTCTATTGTTATCTCTAGCTTTAGATAGAAACGTTACATTAACGTTGTGTGTCTAATCTATTTCCTTAGTATATCTTACCCTAGGTTAAACAGGGACGCTGCAGCCTCTTCCCTAGGGAAAGTAGCAAACAGCTTTTTGTGTCTTCTTATAGGCAGACTTATAACTGTAGATCTCTTTTATTTCTTTAGCAAGCTTAAACAAGTTATTATTAATGCAGATAGTCTTTTTATAAAGCTGCTCTAGTGTGTTTATAACTACACTAGACCTTATAAGTTCTTCTTTAACCTTAGGTTTAAGTCCTTAGCAATACAGTGCTATAAGTGCGTTGTTATTCTAGTTAGTCTACACTACGTAGTGTTAGAACTTTGCAGCATAGTTAGCAGCAGACTTAAGCTGTTTAACGCGTTAAATTTCGCGCACTGCTTTATTTTTCTTGTTAGATATTCTAAAGACCTGGCGGAGCTTAGTCTTAAACACTTCCTAGTTTTTAAACAAAGTAGTGTTTTTATTATCCTTAATATTGTTGTCTAGATATTTAGTAAGCTAAGGCGCAATCTATTTATAGGCATTACTTTACATAAAAGTTGCAGCGTAAGTAGCTTTGTTATTATTCTTAATTTTTTTATTAAACTTAAAAAGCAACTTAAGTTATAGGATCTATTCCTTAAGCTTAACACGTTCCCTATAGTAGGTGTTAGGTTGTTTGGTCTTAATGCTAACAGGGGTGTTGTTATCTATATTAGAAGTAAGGGTAGGCTAGTTAGTAGTACTAAAGCTAGACATCTTAAGGGTATTTACAATGTTAAGATCTTAGAAAACTCTAGTTAAGTTTCGCAGATAACTAGCAGGTAGCACTAAAGTAATAAGGGTAGAAGTATTAAGTAACAACTAGATTATATTTCTAAGAAGTAGGTTGTAACTTAGAGTAAATATAAGAAACTATAAGGGCTTCTTGTCTACTAAATATATATCTATGTCTTGTTTTATAGTTCTTATATGTTCTATGTTGTTCCAAGGATGGGACATTGTAGGACATTATAGAATTATGTAGAACACACGTGACTTGTCCTATAGTAGTTTTCTGCTAAGGCTTATAGGACTATGTAACGTATAGAGTAGCAAAGTCTATTAGTCCTTATAAAGTGTCCTGTTTGCTAACTGTAATTGTTCTTGTAATTATCTTCCTTTATAACCTGCGTGTCCCCGTTCTTAGGTTTGTAACAGTAAAATGTAAAATTTTTACACATTTATATATAAGTGTTAAAATTATAACACAAACACCTTAGGTGTTAAAAATAAGCTTTTTATAATACTAAGGTAAATTACTCTTACTTACTATAAGTATTTTAGAAATTACAGGGCTACGCCGCATTAGCTATTACATAATAAGAAACTATATAATATAATTAGTAATTAGCTTAATTAGTAGTACTAATTAGACTAATTAAATTAATTAACTATTTTAACATTATATATATAATTAGTAGATAAAAAGCCTTTATAGCTTTTTATATTTACTTTAAGTTACAACCTACTTCTTAAAAATATAATCTAGTTATTACTTTAGTGTTACCTGCTAGTTATCTGCAAAACTTAACTAGAGATCTTTAAGACCTTAACAATAAGCAAGCATAATGCTATAATTTCTATAATTTCTGCAATATGCGCGTATGCGCCTACAATATTTTTGCTAATGTTATAACTTATTACATCTTTAGATATTAGTTATAAAAACTTTAAAGCCTAAGCATTCTCTCTACTTAGTTAAACTATATAATATTCTCTTTGCAGCTAAATTATGTCTAGACTATACTAGGTTTTCTTCTAAAGCTATGTTAGATGGTTCTTATAGAACTAATGTTAAGACAAACATCTAGTGTATATTAAAAGCTAGCAGCCCGCACGGTCCGTGTGAACAGCTGTGATAAAAATGCTGGCTGAAAATTCATGTATATGGGTGCTTGGTTTAACATTCAATAGTTGCATTGTTTCAAACTAGCTGTAGCAATACCATTTGGTTTGCTATCTCATCGTCTACAGACAGAGGATGACCATTGGAATCCTGCTCAACATGATAATAGTTGCAAGTCCCTAATCTACATACATAATGTACCGTACGCTGAAGATGCTTGCCGACGCCTGACAACTGCCTTTTACTTGATACTTTGCAGTGACACAAAGGGTTCGTGGTGTCATTTCCCCGCAGATCAACGAAACAATGGAATTTTTTGCAGGATAGGCATTTATAGTAAGGCCGGCGAGCATTGCCGTTTCGATTCGACTCTTTCGTGGTTTCCAAGGAAGTAGGGCGCCCGCATTTGATACAGTTGGGAGCGACATTGAGCTCGGGCGCGGGCGCGTAACTTGTTGGCGGCTGTAGTAGTTGCTGAATATGCGAGGTTTCATTCACTGTGACTAGAAATGTAGACAATTGATGATCCGGAACTATCGACAAGGTCTGAGAAGAATGCGGGGATTTCTCGCTGCTGTCATCTATCACCGAAGTAGGGACTTTGGATTTCCTTGGTTGGGCAATGGGGAGAGTGGAAGGCTCTGAGACCTTTTCTTTCCGAGGCCTCTCACAACTGGTTGCAATATGCGATGAGAGAGTTTGGAGGAAATTCTTCCAGTTGCTGTCATCTGATTCGTCACGAATGTCGTATATATATCGATAGAAACTGGCATGGGTTGCCTCTCTACCAGTACTCGCAACAGCTGAAGCATAGGTAGCTGTCACTAATTCTAGCGTGTCCTTGTAGATAGTCAAATTTTAGCTTATCCTATAATTGTGAATAGTACGACATACAGTTAAGTTGATTGCGGGATGTCCGAGGTGGTTCTTTTGGACAACCTCAGCCACGGTACTGTCAAAGATCGATTTCCCAAACCAGCATGGGAAGTCTGTTAGTCCAATGCATTAGTCTTTTCGTAATCATGGAATCAGCACTGGCAGCATACCTTGATAGAACAGAAACTCATCAGGAATCAAGTCGAGGTCTGTGGATTATTAGTTGCTAAACCCATAAAGCAATATGCTTCGCGTCGACCGCACCAAAGTTGGGCATATTTCTCGTTGACATTGTTGACGGAGACAACTCTCGTTGGCATGGTTTTTGAACGATGCTCTCTCTCTCCTCTGCTACCATCGTAAGATGTGAACTATAAGTGAATTTAGATGTATAGTACTGAAGTGAACACTCGAAAGGTTCGCGGATGGTCAAGACGCTTTAAAACATACCACTATATTTTCAGATTAAACGTGAAAACCGGATAGTACATTTGACCGGTTATTCCTTGGTTTGTTGGCTCAGCCTTCACGACCTTGACCGTATAAATGACCTATTTCGGCCTCAAGCGCTTGTGCAAGGCAGATCAAGATGCTGTTCCCAGATCAGATGGGATTATTAACGACAAGGGTTTTGACCGGAAAGTAGGTCGTTGACCCGAAAGCAGGCTGTTGTGGAGGGGGCTTTGGAGATACTACGACAAGGTAAATCTGCAGGGTGCATACTCAACAAAATGCTACCATTTTACCGGTCAGGGCGGTGTTATTATTGGAATTTGGAAGTATTGGCTTTGTGGGCAAAGATAGCAGGACAACCCCGCTCGCAATGCGGGTCAGCATAGCACAAGAGGCTGTGTGTAGTATGCTATGTGTGGCTGCCGTGCCATGCATTGCAGGTTTCGAGGCATGGGTGACAGGGGGTGTAGCTGCGCGCGTACAGCCTTGGCCAGAATCGCGCGCTTATACTGTTGGTTGAGGCCAAGTGAGGAGAAATTCAACTTTATCACGCTGCACCCAGCAACTCCTTCAAGGCTCCAGAACACCGAAGCTACATACAAGAAAGGGCAATATGCGCTGGAAGACAAGTGGAGATACACGGCTCTCACAGTTGCTGTCATGCTTTTCGTTATTTGACAACTGGTGTACTTTCTATGAACAATTCTAATGATTTCGATACATGCAAGAAATGCTGGCCATTTCGCGCAATGCATGCAGTGTGTTGGCAAAAAGGCATGAGCATGGTAGGTGCGTGCATCATCCCACCCCGGCGCGCGCCCACTCAATAAACGGGAGTGCTCGCTCCTTCCTGTATTTCCGGATTTTGCTGTGCCTCCAATCGCATTGGAACCCTTATCTGACCGCTGCTTCCAGCTCCGCAGTATTCTCCTTGAGCAGCCTTTTGCAACCCAATGAAACTTTCATTGACACTTGCTCAAGAAAAGTCTGCAGTGTCGTGTCGTCATCGGTGGTGCGGGCCGCTTTAATTCTGTTGAATAGCTCAACGTTAGAATAATGGGAATTTCTCTGGCCCTGCGCAATCTGGGAAGGTTCCTTCCAGTAGGTGGCTTCGATTTGCTCCAGTACAGCCTACCTCAAGTTATTTTACAACAATGTAAGATAATGAAGCGTTTACCTTACCTTTGGGTTAACTACAGCATATCCTAGATGCTCTTTCCAGATAGCCTCTAGAAAGTAATACTGGAACACAGACTTCGCAAACCATATATCGAAATCTGTACACATTCCCCGTTAGCTGTGCTCTCTACCTAATGGGAAGGTAAAATCCTTACCGCTATGGAACAAGTCTGTCTCGAAAATGTCGGTATGGGGGGCAACACTTGAAATAGAGTCTTAGAAACGGGTCAGTCAATGCCATATACGACTCCAAAGGAACAATACCGGTCAAAAGCATGAATTTCGCCGCCTCTGGAGAAGAACCATTGCTTCCGCTACGATGTATAAAGCATTTGGATATCATCTTGAGTGTGGACTTCATCGAGGCTTTGTGTGGTGATTCCAGTTATGAAAAAGGTAACAAATAATCTAAAGGCTCTATCAGTTCACCCAAGGGATGAAAACTAGTATTTAAAAAATAAGCTTAAAGTACATCATGAGCCACACTCTACACCATCGTCTCGCCTGTATATTTAGCTCAGCTGGCCAGCGCTTGTTCTCTGCTATTATTCGTGGTCGAAAACCTGGATCACTGCAGTGTGCTGTCGATCACTAATGTTTTACGAACTCAGGATTTTCTTGCGAAAAAAATCGATAAAAGTCTTCACCGGAAAGGCAGAATTTCTGGGAAGAATTGCCGGGTAAAAGTAGATTGTGGCGTAGTGCAGGATATCCTACAAAGTGCAGCATCCGGTGAGAGTGCTTAGCTGATAAACCGTCAGAAGCGATTTTTTCATAAATCCCCAAAGCTGTACTCGCTATTGACACTACGTCTTACGTTCCTCGATTGTTTCTACTTCACTAACAAGTCGCGTTGACCTGGCTCATAATGAGTGCCAAAAAATACCAATTCCCATCTTTCGGACGCACTCGTCGCCACAGCAAGGACGCAGCCGCACAGATGATCGGAACAACAGTCGGGTCAGGTATAGCATTTCTGCCTTTACAATGGCTTGATATTAATACTTCTTTGTAGAATCTACATCTGACATTGGCGTTTTGGATATGGATATAGAACTCTTCCAAAAAGGTAATTTTCCGCGAACGGTTACATCATACAGGTCCATACACTGACCAAAGTTACACCAGATTTTGACCGCTGGTACGCGAAAGTTGTCTTCCAATACTACCTGGCTATGGCCATCCAAATAGAGCACATGGAACCTAGGTCTATCAGTTTAAAAGTAGGTTGTAACACTTCTTTTCCTAAGATTTGTTTCTAATGTCAATTAGTGTATTGTTGAGCAAGTGGAAGCTTCCTACCAGGGATACCCCAGCCACAACGAAGGAGAAGACGTCAATCCTTCCTATCCAGGGTCACAGCTTTTTAAGCGTATCAAGGCCGCTCGGTCGACCAAAGACGAGAAAACATTAAGAGTCTTCTTAGACATACTGAACGACAAGATATCTCAAAGCTGCAGGAAGTCGCGCCATGAGAAGGTAGCAGAACTCGCTGCCAACAGCAATGAAGGCATACAGTTGACGCCTGAGCATACCGGTCGCGCCACAACCCCAAGCTCAATTTTGACCAATGAACAATCTGCTGAAGATACATCCAAAGAAATGGGTACTCCGACCCCAATGGACAGCTTTTCGTTTGACAGGGTCGAACAAAAAACGAATCTTCCGGCGCCAAGCAACCTCCCGTTGCATAGATACACAATAGCAATATATGAACACGCTACTGCGAATGGGAGAGAAACTTGTTTCGAGGAAGTTCAGTTACCAGACGATAAATGGCAATGCAAGTTCTATTACAGTGGCATCGATGAATTGGGGGAGGCTCCGTCGAAACAGACTGCAAAGCATATTGCTTGTCAAAAGCTGTGTAGGAGATTAAGAATTTGTGGCTGAACTCTGTCAAAAGCAGAGTGAAGTTTCCTGCACATATCATTATAGCTCTGCTATCAAGAGGAATTGGGATGTTAATACCGTACTCGTAGATATTATGAGATGGTATAAACTACAGAAAGTCATGCCAGCTTACTGTGCTGCATGTCTGTTAATTACATAACGCAACCAGGAAGCGAGCCGTTCAGACAAGCAAAGAGCATTACATAGGGACTATAAATTGTCTCTTCTTATCGAGTACCCATCAACGACTCACAAGCACTCTTCTCTTAGTCTGTCTTTCTAGTAATCCAACTCTTCAGCTCTGTAAGTGCCTTTTACCGTCTTCCCAGCACCTGTATGTTTTACTAATGCAGCTACAGAACATTTCTGTACCAGTTCCACCCAGTATACTCGCTGCCGCCCATCAGAGTATTTGTCTTTGCGTTTGTTGCGCTTTCACTCGCAAAAGCGCTCCTACTTTCAAGTACCAGTTCCATAAGGACATGTCCAAGAAGTGCGAGCACTTCATTGATCAGAGATTCAACCGCATTTTGGTTCAAAGCTTGTTATTCAATTGTCTAGTAGATCCCTGACTGTTGTGACTCAAAATGAGATGAGCTCAAATATACTGATAGGTTGTGTTAACAACATAGCTCACCGTAAAAGGCTCGGGAGAGTTGAGAGACAGATCTAGAAAGAGTAAAGAGGAAAGCTGTTTAGCTTACTGCTTAGCTGAAGGAAAATCCTGACAGCGTCATGACGAGATTCCACGCGAAGCAAGTATCAAACAAAGGTTAGACCTTACCTTTATTTTGCAGCGTGTGCCATATCATATGCTGTTAAGTTAGAAAGAATTATCTATAACACAATTCTCTATTTTTTAGAGACATTTGTCTTAGGAACTGCCAGTGAGGTGTAATTATATTATGTAGATAGTATGTAGCAGAGATTTTAAAGTTAGAAAAAGAAATGTGTTGCATTACTCTTTTTAGTTAACACTTAGCACGTATAAATGCGTTTACTGCTAAGTACTATATTTGTTGCCTATATTATTTTTTAGTAATCTAAAGGCTTAATTTGTTTTACGTAGCAGGCCCCTATCTAGAAAGCAAACTTTAACAGCTACGTAACAAATCTACTAACTAAAACTAAGTAGTTAATGCGTTATTAACAGTTAGTATACAACTTTGCAAGGTTGTATAGTATATTAAAATGTTTTAGCTGCAAATTTAGTAAGTATTTAATTAAAAAATTATTTTATATTTAACTTTTGCTAACTTTACGCATAAACTTCTTATATTATATTACTTTTTTACAAAATTTAGGCCAAAAATAAAAATAAAAGTCTTTAGTTTAAGTTACTACTTATAAAAGTAAACTAAAATAATAGAGCGCAACTGCTTAACATTTAAATAGTTATTTATATAAAATTAAATATTCTTATAATACTTAAAGCGCAGCTTTTTCTTTCTACTTTAAAACTAAAATTATAAAAAGTAGTACTATATTTTATATAGTTATAGTAAAGCTTTTTAGCTACAAAACTAAAAGTATATAAATTAAAAGTAAATAAAATAGTATACAGCTCGTAAAAAGAGTGTTAAAGTAAGTAATTATTTATTAATTATTATAATAGTAGATAAAAGCTAGCAGTTATGCATATATATATACTAATTTAGTAAGCTTATTATTCTACACTATATTATAAATATATATATTTTATTAACTTATTATACTTAATAAAGAAAAAAAAATAATAGCTATATAAAATTATAAACTACTAAGCTATACTATAAACTCTTTTTAACTTATAAGCTATTAATAAACTTAATTAGTTATTTACTTTAAATACTTTTTAAAAACTCTCTTTTATAAGTTTAAAGTAATAAGTAAGCTAAGTAAGCTAACAACTTTTATTACTATACTATATAAGTAAAAAGCAAAAACTATAACTAAATTCTAATAAATTTTAATCTATAAAACAAGTTTTTATACTTTAAAAATTTTACTTTTTTTTATACTAAGTGCTTTTTTTTTATATACTATATAATAAACTAGTGTTTTAAATTTCTTTTACTTATTAAACTAAAACTAAAAAAAGGCTATAGTAATAGCTATATAAGTACTAGCTAATATGTATAACTCTTAATTAGTATAGTTAAGTAATTAGTTTTTTTAATAGTAACTAAGTGCTTTTAAAGTAAAAAATAAAAGTTTTTATTATAAATATTCTACTATAGTATACTACACGTAATAAAAAGTAAATTAAATAATAAAATTATATAATATATAAAAGTAAAGTTTATAAAAAATATTATATAGCGTATAAAAAATAAAAGTATATACTATAAAAAAACAACCTCTTTAATCTCTACTTTTAAGTAAAGGCAAAAATTATTTAGTCTTTTTAGTTATTGCTTATTTTTTTAGTTAATTTTTTATTGTAACTTATTACTGTGTATAGAATTACTTAAACTTCTTCTTAAAAAAAATAAAAAAATAGAAAAACTAAACTATGCATAAAAATATAAAATAAAAATAAAAATATAAACTATAACTTTTATGCTAAAAAGAAAAATTAGTAGCTATATAAAATATTAGATATACTATATACTTATAACTAATAGTCAACTTCAATAATTATTAAAAATTATTTTTAAAGTTTTATAAATAGAATAGTATAACAGCATGCTTAGTTATAAGTAATATTTTTAGCTTTTTTAGTACTTACTAGGTAAAAACTTTTACCTAACTATAAATTCTTTAAAAATAAAAGATTTTTACTACATAAAAGCATCTAAATAATTTATACTAAATGCTATATTTTTATTAGTTTTAATAAGCTTCTATAGCTTACTATAGTAGTATTAAAACTATAACATAAACATTTTAGTTATTAATAAGCTTTTTATAATACTAAAGTAAATTACTCTTATTTAATATAAGTGTTTTTAAAATTATAGAGCTACGCTATATTAGCTATTATATAATAAAAAACTATATAATATAATTAGTAATTAGTTTAATTAGTACTACTAATTAAAGTAATTAAAGTAATTAACTATTTTAACTTTATATATATAATTAGTAAATAAGAAGCTTTTATAGCTTTTTATATTTACTTTAAGTTATAACCTACTTTTTAAAAATATAATTTAGTTATAACTTTATACTTTTACTTTTATTACTTTAGTATTATTAACTAGTTACTTATAAAACTTAACTAAAGTTTTTAGAAATTTTAATATTATTAATACCTTTAAAATATTTAGCTTTAGTACTACTAATTAGCTTATCTTTACTTTTAATATAAATAATAATACTTTTATTAGTATTAAAACTAAATAACTTAATACTTATTATAGAAAACGTGTTAAGCTTAATAAGAAAATTTATAACTTAAGTTACTTTTTAAGATTAATAAAAAATTAAAAATAATAATAAACCTACTTATACTATAACTTTTATATAAAGTAATACTTATAAATAGGTTGCGTTTTAGTTTTTAAATATTTAAATAATAATATTAAAAATAATAAAAATACTACTTTATTTAAAAATTAAAAAGCATTTAAAACTAAGCTCTACTAAGTTTTTAAAATATTTAAAAAAAAAATATAGTGCGTAAATCTTAACGCATTAAATAGTTTAAGTTTACTACTAACTATAGTATAAAGTTTTAATACTATATAGTTTAAACTAACTAAAAGAACAACGCACTTATAGCGCTATACTACTAAAAACTTAAATTTAAAGTTAAAAAAAAACTTATAAAGTTTAGTACAGTTATAAACAGTTTAAAATAACTTTATAGAAATATTTTTTATATTAATAAAAACTTGTTTAAGCTTATTAAGAAAATAAAAAAAGTTTATAAGTATAAATCTACTTATAAAAAAACTTAAAAATCTATTTACTATTTCTTTTAAAAGAGAAGCTACAGCATTTTTATTTAACTTAAAGTTAAATATACTAAAAAACAAATAAAACGTATATTATTAATATAATATTTTTATTTAAAGCTAAAAATAATAATAAAAAAGAAGTATATTTAAAAAAGTAAAAACTTTAAAAAGATTACCTGCTACGCATGTAGTAAAACTAGCTATATAGCTAAAAACTATTAATAAAAAAATAAAGTTATATAATTTATTAATATATTAACTAAGTTTTAATATTTTAGAAAAAAATAAGAATAAATTAAAATAAAAAATTCTAGAACTTACGCTAAGTAGAAAACAACTTATAGTGAATAACTTAAATTTAAAAAGTAGTTTTAAGCATTATAAAAATGCACTACTACTTTAAAATTATTAAGTTAAATAAAGCGCCTAATAAGCTGCTATAAAAAGTAAAAATAATTATTAAAAAAAGTAATATTTATATTTTATATAGTAGTTTTAAGCTAAAAATTTTATATTAAAAACTTATGCACTACTAAAAGTAAAATAAATATATATTATAAAAGATTTATAAAAATTTAAATTAAACTTAAAAGAAAAGTACATATTTTTAGAAAAACCTTATAGGTTAAAAGAATTTAGTAAATACAATAATAAAAAAGTTACTTAATAAACTAAAAAACTAAATTTGCTAAATAAAATAGCAGATAGTAATTAAAATAAAAATTAAACTAAATAATAACTTTAAAACTTATAAAATAATAACTATATATAATATATTTTAAAGTACTAGTAAAATTATTAAAGTATAAAAAAAATAGTAAAAGAACTAAAAAGCTTAAACTACTATTTTTGCGTTAACTTATGTATAACATTAACTTATAAAACTAAAATTATAGATAACTAAATTCTAGCACTTATATATATAACTTTTACTAAATATACTAGTTAAATAAAAATGCTTTTTACTACTTAAAAAATAACTTATATAAAACTTATAAATATAATGTATTTTATAAGTAAGTTACTAATTAAAGTAAAACGCTAGCTTTTAACTAGCGCACTACTTATATAGAATAACTATATAATATATAATATACTTATAAAAAATTATAGTAA